TGGACGTGAATGGACAACAAAGCACAGCGCAGTCTCTAAATAATTAAAATTTAAAAGGGTTTTGTACTTATGAATGAAAATTCCTGGTTTAAAAAGATAAAATTTTCACTTGATTTATATCATTTAAAAATAAAATTTAGTTTATTAAATAATTTGTGGAGGGCAGAGAAGGATTCCCTGGTGGTCCAGTGGTTAGGACTCCAAGCTTCCATTGCAGGGGCCATGGGTTTGATCTCTGGTCGGTGAACTAAGATCCTGCATATTGTGCAATGTGGCAAAAATAAGTAAATTAATTAATAAACAAAACTTTAAGATTCCATAAGGCAATAGGTAAGGGATGACTGTAGAGTTCTTCTATTCAAATGAGAACATATATACCCAGCTGAGTGTTGTCTTCCAAAGTATCCCTGTGGATGTTTTTCTACTTACTCTTTAGCAGCTCCCAAATGAGAGGGTGGGAGTCAAGGAAGACTGATGCCTGAGTTTCTCATGTCGGTAATGGCTAATGTGGACAGCAAGAGGTCTTGGACACCCAGGAAGTGCTGGGAAGGCCTCTGTGTATTTCCACAGTGGTGGAGAGGGGACACAGACAATTCTTTACAGATTTTAGAAAGAATGGACACCAAAAAACTCCCGATTGTCGTGAGTTAGGGAAGGGAAAATTAGTAATCAATGAGTACAGCAATGGTAACCAATTCTTCAGCTGAGATGGTAACCAACTGATTGTATCAAATGTTTGTCAGTCAAACATTTGGAAACTCCCTTTATTCTTGAAAAGCCTGAGAAATCTGCACTTAATGAAATTCACTTATGCTTTCCCATTGATGTACAATTTAAAATTACAACATATACTTGAAAGAGAAAATGAATCCATACTTCTGAAGAGAACAGGACTTAAATCCACACCATTAAAGGCAAAAAAGCATTTTTAAATTCCAGAATGCTAAAACAACGACAACAAAATCCTCAAGACTGTAGGGATACATGTGCGCTCTTCCAGGTAATTTAAATGGACAATCAATTAGCAGATTAGTGCTAGGTAAACATTACACATTCAAATCCCAACCAGAGATTAATTTGCTCTCTTCCAGAGTCACAGATTGCATGCTTAGCCCCAGCCTGCTGCTCTCCTAAATATATGCTAAGTACATGGGTCTCAGTCACCTTCCTTGAAACACTGAAAGCTTAACCTTTTATTACTGGATGTCTCTGCTGTGCTTAGTTGTTCAGTCGTGTCCGACTCTTTGTGACCCCACGGACTGTAGCCATCCAAGCTCCTCTGTCCATGGAATTCTTCAGGCAAGAATACTGCAGTGGATAGCCATTTCCTTCTCCAGGGGATCTTCCTGACCCAGGGATCGAACCTGGGTCTCTTGCATTGCAGGCAGATTCTTTACCATCTGAGCCACCAAGGAAGCCCCGTTAATACTGGATAGAAGTCTCAACTAAGCAGAATATTAAGAATATTTAATATTAATATTAAAGTTATCATTCTACTATAAAACACTTTAATTTGGAAAGAATCATGTAAATAAGTAATATTTTCTTCCTTCGGGCAGTAGATGAATTGATCAAAACTAAATTGGCTGAAATGGAAGAGCTAAAAATAAGTATTTCTATCATTGGTTTTCCACATATTGGTAAATTTTTCACACCATGGGCTAGTTCTCTTTGTCTCTTAATCATAACTTTTTCTGAAATTTCTTTTTTAAATTTTTATAAAGCATGGGGCCATGTCTTTTTTTACCATTTTTATTTTTCAGATTTTTTTCTTGCTTGTAGGCAAGAAAATTTCTTGGTGAAATTAAAAGTTTTCTCATACGCTCAAAGTGAAAAGTTCAAAGATACAGGTGGTTGGAATCAGGAAAGTCCCCAAACACTAGTTACTATATAGTGTGAATCCAAGAAGATATTATAATTTTATTAAATGTTAAATACAGATGTTTGCTTCTACCTTGACACTTAAAAAATTTAGCTTCAATCAACTTCTGAATTTGAAGATTATATAAAATATGGGTCAGCCAAACATTTTTCCAGCCACTAATAATGTTACTCAAAACATAAATTAGTTTTTTTTTAATGAGAACATATATTTAAATAGGGAAAATAACCCCAAATGAATTTATACTTATGAAAATGAATTTTAAGGTTTCAAAAAATAACATAACTGTTACATGTCCTCAAGGATAAAGTCAATACAATTATAGGATGTGGAAGTAATAGTTATAAAAGTCAACATTTATTGAAAATTTGCTGTGTGGCAAGCACACAAGTTACCTCATTTAATCCTTATAAAAATCTGGAAGGTAAGCACTATTAATACCCTCGTTGTACACATGATAGAAACCAAGGTTTTAAAAGTTTAAGTAAATTACACAAGGGCTCAGAGGTAGGACCAGACAGATTTGGTAATCTGATTCCAGAACCTTAGTCCTTTACACTGCCTTAAAGTGAAAATAAATTAATTCTCAGAACCCCAGACACTGGCACGAAAGTATTTAAAAGCAAGCCCATTTAAAAGAAACAAAAACAAACAAAAAAATAAAATAAAAAAATAAACAAAAACAGAACATAGAAGAGTAAATATGGAGCAGAGTGCTATAGATTCAATTACGACTGATTAAAACTACTACTCCTAAATGTGTGAGCCTACAGTGGATTATAGAAGGAAGCTTGAATATTTTGGGTGTCAGTATTTAATGTGGCTTTAAATGACTAACTGTATTTCTAAATAACACATGATCCTGGCTTCATCGCTAACTTTGTGTATGAGTTAAGTGGCTTAACTTGCTTAAGTCTGTTTTTTAAAAAATTAAACACACTTTTCAAAATACTAAGAGCATTTTACTTACGTATATGTCATACTGGCCGATATTTGAGGTGAAGTTATAAGAAATGAAAAAACTCAACTTGCCTTTTTCGGGACAAGAAAGTATGGAGGCTTCTTGGAACCTGCGTGGGTGCAGGCTCCACTTGCTCTGCACCTTTTGTATGGGCCTGCTCCTCTACAGAGATTTCTCCAGAAAAGAAAAGGATAAGAGAATTGCAGATAAGTAAAAACACCACTTCCAAACTCCTAAGAGTTCTGAGTTTATAAATGCTTTATTCTATAAGACATTAACCTGTTTCAAAAAACATTTTATTGATGCATAATGCATTTACAGTGTTAACCTCATTTAAAAAGTAATTACTGCAGAGCTCTGGGACAGAAGTCCTGAGAGGACCTCGTTTCAGAAGATGCTACTAGAGCAAGAAGGATTTAAATCATTTTCCTTAGGAGGGGCTGCACAGTCTCTGGAAAGCGGGAGTTAGAGAAGATAGATATTTCACAGTTGGAACCAAATGGAAGGGAGGCATTTCACGTGCTGTAACAGATCTGCTGTTTTTAAAGTCTCTTTGGTGGTATCTGACACTAAGGCTACTTGTATATTACATGATAGATTGTCATTTCAGTGTCTGGGCTATGAAATGTTACTAGTGGGAAAACAAAAAAGAGGAGCCTCCGGCTCCTTCAGACAGTGAGAGCACTTTGAGTGCGCGGAGTCAGATCTATCTGGAGGGAGATCTGCTACCTCAAAGGGAACCACCAATGAGGGTTCTGCTCACGTGGCTCTTAGATTTCTCCCAAAAAAGCAGTGAAGCAGTAAACCCAGCAGGCAGTGGGGTCAATCTGCCACTTTTCCAACTTCCTCAGAATTATCACCCTACTCCTGTGAACAACCAAAAGTCTGGAGAGTTATTTCCCAAGTTAAAGATACCGATGCAATTAAGGTGAGAGAGGAGGTGATCATTTCTAAAACCCGGTTGCTACACTTGGGCACACAGCGCAGAAACCGATTTCCGTTGGGGACTTGGGCTCACTCCTCCCCCTAGACACATCCCAACTTCCAGTTCCTGACCGCCTCTATCTCTGCAGCCGCCTCGGCCAGGGCACTGGTCCCACCTTGGGATGACTGGCCCTGTGGGACCAGGACGGGATCTCTTTGGGGTGATCAGACCCCAGGCATTAGGCCTTCTCAGATGACTGGCTCTCAAAACGAACGCTGCCTCCTCGAGTTGACGAGATCCCAAGATTGAGTTGGGGCCTCCTCGGGGTGACCAGCTCCTGGGGATGGAACTTGGGACTCCTCAGGTGGCCGACTCCCGAGAAAAAGGCCTTCTCGGGGGTGACCGGGCAGAGGGACAGGAAAGGGCCTCCTCTGGGTGACTGGTCCTTGGGGACGAAACAGGGCCTCTTCGGAATAACGGGACCCGGGGAAGAAGATGGGGCTTCCTTAGGGTGACTGACTTCCGGGATGAGGCTTCTTTCAGGGTAACCAGATCCGTAGGTCCGAACGCGGCCTCCGTGAGGTGATCGGCTCCGATCGTGGACGGGGACAGGGCTGCCTGACCGGCTTCCGGGGATAAGGCCGTCCCGGGGTGACCAGATCCTGGAGCCGGGGATGTTGTCCTCGGTGACCAGCTCTGGGAGACCAGGAAGGGGACGAGATGAAGCTACCGCCCCGACACCTCCTGGGAACTCTAGCAGGCACAGCTGCGTCGCTTGGACCCGAGAGCTCCTTGCCCTGGGCTGGGCCTCGCGGACTCTGCCAGGGCTGGGACCGAAGTTCGGAGCCGGAGTCCGAGTCCTGGGCCGCCGGGCACCGGCCCCTCTTCTGGTTACCGGCCCCTCTTCTGGTTACCGGCCCTCGCAGCACCGCCTCTTCCGCCCCTTCCGCCGGCCCGCGTACGTCAGCTGGCGCCGCCCCGCCCCGCCGCCGCCCGCCCGCCCGCGCGAGGCCGCCTCAGCTTGGCCTGGGCCTGGAGCGGCGCACGGCGCAGGTCCCTCCCCGCCATGGCCCTGGGAGGCGGCAGCACATGGCGGCCGCAGCGGCCATGAGCGCGCCCGCGGCTCGGCCCGGCCCCCCCTAGAGCCCGCCGCCCCGGCCCCGGCCCGCGCCACGGCCCCGCCGCCCCCGGCCCCGCCGCCCCGCCGCCCCGCGCCCGCCGCCGCCGCCGCCATGGGCGTGCAGGGCTTCCAGGACTACATCGAGAAGCACTGCCCGAGCGCCGTGGTGCCGGTGGAGCTGCAGAAGCTGGCCCGGGGCAGCCTGGTGGGCGGCGGGCGGCAGCGGCCCCCGCACACGCCGCTGCGCCTGCTGGTGGACGCCGACAACTGCCTGCATCGCCTCTACGGCGGCTTCTACACCGACTGGGTGAGCGGCGGCCAGTGGAACCACATGCTCGGCTACCTGGCCGCGCTAGCCAAGGCCTGCTTCGGCGGCAACATCGAGCTCTTCGTCTTCTTCAACGGCGCGCTTGAGAAGGCGCGGCTGCACGAGTGGGTCAAGCGGCAGGGCAACGAGCGCCAGACGGCGCAGCAGATCGTCAGCCATGTCCAGAACAAGGGCACCCCGCCGCCCAAGGTCTGGTTCCTGCCGCCCGTCTGCATGGCGCACTGCATCCGCCTGGCGCTCATCCGCTTCCACGTCAAGGTGCGGCCAGCCGGGCGGGCGGGCGGACTGGGGTCCGCGTGGGCCGGGGGCGGGGTTGGAGACCGGGGCCGGGCGTGGGTCTGCGTGAATTTAAGGGGTCTCTTGAATTTGAGGGTGGGTCGGGGTTAGACTGGAGTTTGGGGGACCAGGGATGGGCCAGGGGTCTGGGCCTGAGTCCGGGTGTGGGGTCTGGGGTCAGGGTCCAGGCCTGGGTCGGAGTCTGGAATACGGTTGGGGTCTGGGTCTGGGCTCCGGGCAGGCCAGGGTCTGAAGTTGGAGCTGGGTCGGGTTTGGGGGTCTGGGCGCGGGGTACCGCAGGCGCCTCTCCCCTCCAGATCTGACCTGCTGCAAAATGGACGCGCCGCCTGGATCCCGGCCGGCTGCGAATGCCCGGGGTTTGGGAACCTGGGCTATACCAGGCCGGCCGAGAACCGTAGGACTAGCGGATAGCTGCAAGCTTGGAAGGTGCAGTGCCATTCGCTGAGATCCCGAGTATACCTCCACACTTTGAAGCAGGCATATTACTAACCTGAACTTTTATGAGTCGCTGGTTTTCGATTTTGGAAGGCTTGAAAAGCAACAGGTATTTTGCGGGAGCAAGTGGGCTAGATGGCGACAGCAAGGGGTCTCCAGCCACTGAGGGTGGATAGAAGGTCTGCCTACTGCTGTCACCCCGGTTCGACCTGGGCAAGGCCTGTGGAGTTGGCTTTCTCTTGAGAACACAGGGCTAGGACCAGGTTCCCAGTAAGGTAATAGTTTTTAGAGAAATTGTCGGATTTTTGTGTGTTGGGTTTTAAAGAACCATGTAGCTTGACATGATGGAATATTTTAAGTGCTGTGATTTAGCCTGCGTGAAAAAGTCTTTGGTTCTGTGTGTCTGATGTGAAAAGAGTAGTCCAGAGTCAGGCAGAATCAGAATCAAAGTCAGTGAATCAGAGTTTCCAGGATTTATTCTCTCTGCACAGAAAGAACTCCACCACTTTGGGCTGCGCACTCAGGTAATCAGAGCTTTGGGTGTCCAGCATTCTGCTGTCCTTTTGGCGGAGGGCTCCTCCCTGAACTCAGGCCAAGGAGTGCTTCAGGACTTAGCAGCCAGGGCAGCGATAACATGCAAACCAGTGACCCTTGACTTGAGTTTTGATTGCTTCGTTTTTCATTGTTCTTCGTTTACAATTCTTAGGGGGAGCTGTTATATTTTTCTGACTTTGGCCACTCTGCCTTCCAGTGTGTTTGTCATTCCTTTATTTCTGCTTGAACTGTGCTTGATCCCAAAGTTTGTTAAATTCGAACTTCCTGACTGCTCTTGCCTGTGCTGAGATGGTGGTGGTTAAGCCTAAAGTGATAGCGGAAGTCCCACCCCGATCCTAATGCAATTGGTGACAGGGTTTCCAAGTCTGCGGGTCGAGGCTGCTGGAAGAGCTGCGATTGGTCTGTGAATATGGCGGAGACCTAGCCTGTGTCCCTGGGGAAGATCGGGTGAGAGTAAGGGACTACTGCTGGCATTTTCTGCCCTGGAGCCTGGGCTGTCCGAGAAGTAAGACGGTGTAATTCCCCAGTGTGATACACCTCCAGAAGATGCTTTGAGTGTTAACACTTTTGTCTTGTGCAGAGATGGAAATTACTTACTACTGAGAAGACAATGAGCTTTAAAGTCAAATGACTTTCAAAGGAACATCATAAATTTTACTTAGGATTAGATTCAGTGTTTGTACATGGTCTCTATCTTTTGAAAGAACTGCTATATACTTTTTTAGTTGTAAAATTTCTTGATATTTCTCTTTGTACCCCTATAAATGTCTCACCTGCTAGGTGCTTAGAATTTTGACTAATATGTGAGTAAGTAAGAAACTAGAATTAAGATCATTTCTTCCACTTAGATTTCTGGACACAAGGTATAATTGAGTGTATGATCACTTTGCTTTAGATGAACTTTGAATTCCTGATACAGAATCACAATATAATAATGTTAATTTTACAGTTTAATATAGTAGTGACTCAATTCCTTGGTGTACACATACCAGGAAGACTCACCTTTTTGGAAAACGCCTAAGAAACTTAGCTACTAAAAATTTATCAGCAGCCAAATGAGAAGTCAGGAAGTTTTGGTATAGTGATCCAAAAAGAAAAGAAAAAGCTTTCTGTTTCCTCATTGAAGAATCAACTTTTCTCCCTTATAGACTGCCCTCTCGTTTTCAGATGTAATTATGATAAGCTTAGTTACCTGTTTCTAAACTCAGCTTGAGAAAGGAGTGCAGAGGAAAGTCTGACGTAGGCAAGTGCACCGTTAATAGCAAAAAGTGACTCTTTACCGGGGAGAAGATAGAAAATGCTATTAAAAGCACACATAATTCTGGGGCTTCTTTAGAAACAAAAAAAACAACCCTCTGTACTTCAGTAGCCCCCGAGGGATAGTATGGTTTACTCTTGAGGATGGTTTCGGGGATAATGTATGTTCAGCATTCTTTAAAGAAGTGAAGCAGCATGTACTGTTTTTTAGGAAAATGCCTATTAAAATGGTTAAGTGAATTAAAACCATGATGGCATATCACTACATACTTGTTAGAATGGCTAAAATAAGTAATTCCGGCAATGCCAGAATGCTGGCAAGAATGCTGAGCAACTGGAATCGTCCCACATGGCTGGTGGGAATGCAAGATGGTATGCCACCCTGAAAAATAGCTCCCTAGTTTCTTATAAGATGGGTTTACCATATGATCCAGCAGTTGTACTCCTGGGTATTTTCCTAATGAAATTATTATTCACAGAACAACTATACTTGATTGTTCATAGTAGTTTTGTTCATAATAGCTCAAACTGGAAACAAGCAAAATATCCTTTAATAGGTAAATAGTTAAGCTATGGTACCAAGTGATACTACTTAGCAATAAAAAGGGAGAAACTACTGATACACACAAGGAAGCCAGGCTCAAGAGGTATAATTCTATTTATATGACATTCTCTTGCAGATAAGACTGTAGATGGGGACCAGATGACAGGTTACACGAAGGTGTGAATATAAAGGGACAGCAGGAGGGAGCTTTTTGACGTGATGGAACTGTTCTGTAGCCTGATGGTTGTGGTGGTAGCATGTTTTAAAATTGTAGAACTTACATCAAAAGTAAATAAAAGTTAATTTTGTTGTATGATTTTTTTAAAATAAAAATTAAGTAAAAACTGGCAAAGCAATTTACACAAGCATCTCACCATATATAATGTTGGGCATATGAAGCATTTTTCTTATAAAAATCCACCATTGTATTGGCCTTCTCCAGGGTTCTGTAAACTGGCAGAATGTCTTAATTTCCTGTCAGCTTTGCTTCGAGAAATCTTTTTTGGCTTAGAAGAGTATGTCTTCACTAGAGTAATAATTGTATTTCTTTAACCATTAGAAGTTGGCCCACACATCAACTAATTTTGTTCAGGTCATTAAACTGCCTGGCCTGAATTTGGCTTCTGTTTGTTACTAGGAGCATTTCCTCTTGTGTGCCTTGAGTCATCATAACCTTTGAAACTTAGTGAGGAGTGATGTTTACTTAAAAATCTTGGTGGCATTAAATCCCTGGAACTTTTCCTAAGTGTTTCTGCCTCAAGACTTGTGGTGGTGGTGGTGTGCAGGTTTATAACGAAGTCCTTGTGTATTCACTGAGATCTCACATAAAGCAAAGCTGGTGTTTTAAGTCACTGGAGGAATGTGAGATTAGACTGTGGCCTGAGATCCTGTGGTGATGATCTTTCTTTGTGTACTTGATGGGGTTGGAGGGACTACTCCGTAGGGTGCCAGTTCCATGCTGGGTTCTCTCTCCTGGTGCTGTCTCATTTAGCCCTCAGCGTTTTGTTGCCAATTTTTTATGGCAAGAAATGGGATTGAGCAGTGTCTGGGGAAAGGTAACCAGTAACCTCTTTAAGAGGGAAGTAGTGTGCTGAAGTCAAAGTTCAGTTTCATTGTGTAAGAATGCTATAGGGGTGTGCCTACCTGCAGTTCACTCTCAGGTCAGATCTGATAGCAAAAATGCTTTTGCTAGGTAGCACAGTTTCTCTCCAGGAAACATTGAAAACTAGCAATATACTTTTATTCTTAACCATCACGAATTGATCAGGGAATACTTAGAATTCTAAACTGACCACATTATAAGTCAAACCAGCCATCCATTTAAAATACTCATTTAAAAAAAAATAATAAAATACTCATTTAAAAATATTTATTTTCTTCAAGTGTGCCAGTTTGGTGACTGGTTTGTTTCATTTAGCCTAATGTCTTCAAGGCTCATCCATATTATAACATTGTGTCAGAATTTCCTTCCTTTTTTCTGTCTGAATAATACTCTGTTGTATGGATGAACCACATTTACTTTATGGATTCTTGGGTTACTTCCCCTTTCGGCTCTTGTGAAATAGCCAAATGAATAGCCCTAATGAGTAGTGCTCCGGTGAACATGGTTGTGCAAAAATCTTTTGGCAGTCCCTGTTTTCAGTTCTTTGGGATATGTACCCAGGAGTGGAATTGCTGGGTCATTTGGTATTTCTATGTTTAATTTCTCAAGGACTCACCATACTGTTTTCCACAGCAGCTCCCTATGTATATTTTATACATCATATATTATCATAGTAGTTTTAGTTTTAACATTAATGTGATCACTACATTATTCAGCAATTTGCTTTCTTTATAAGTATATAAAAAAATCTTTTCATGTCTATACTTACAGTTCTGATTCTTTTTAATGCCATAGTGTTCCATAATTTATCCATCTCCTACAAATGGTATGACACACATACTTGGTGGATCCAAGAGTGTGCACATTTTAAAAGCCTTACAAGACTATAGAAGCAACTTTGCCAGACCTTGAGATTTTCAAGGAAGTGAGAAATCCAGATTTTTATTTGAAATCATCCCATTTAAAAATGAGCCAAGCAAAATGGACTCCAGGCTAGATTCAGCTCTTAAGACACAAATTTGTGACTTAAGCACTGATATTTATCAACAATTACCACCCATTTCTAAA